TTTAAATCCTGAATAAGAGACTGACTGAGAGAAAGAAATAATTATTTAAAAAATAAGACTTAAATAAACACTTTTCTCAAAAAAATGCTTGATTTGCCTAACTTAATGACTAGGTGACGAAAGAGACCCATAGTTGGAAGGCTAGAGAAAGAAATTGAAAGAAAATAATGTGTGAAAAAGATGGGTATATAAGCATGAAGAAAGATAAGCATGATATAAGGATCTAGAGGATCTTTTAAAACCCGGCTGGAGGTATTTTCTAAAAAAAGAGCTAAGCTTCCTTAATTCCTTCCTTAATTTCCTCAGCTTTTTGGTGACGAAAGACACACATTACCTACTAAGGTTCGAGAAGGAAGGAAAAGGCAGGAGATCTTCTGAAAATGTGAAAGAGATGTCTATAGACACAGAGAAAGAGACAGGAAGGAAGACCTCTTCAAACCCCAGCTTGGTGTGTTCCAATTAATGACTTCAATTAAATGGCGTCCAAAAGCACATTTTGGACGGCACATTTGTAGGCAGGACCTTTGCTCATTCCCCCCTCTAAGGACCTCCTACTGCCTTGAAAAAGGAGGGATCCCCCTCTCAGAGGGGTTTCCCTCTTCCTCGCTTTTAAAAAGCGTCCTGGTTGAAATGCTACAATGGTCGGCTGATTGCTTGGCTATTTCAGAGAGTTTCTTCAAAATGCACTGGAAAAAAATATATGTAATGTTGAGCTTTAATCTTTCATAACTTGGAAATTATTTTATAAATTATATAGAGCTAAATTTTAAATTGGGAAGGACTTAAAACAATTGCTAAGAATAGGAAATAGATACTTATAATACGTAGATTTTTATTTTTGTGGTATAATTTTGTTAATTATATTTATTCCTCAACATCCTTTAAATGTTATGTTGTTTTGTTTTATGTTATGTTTTAATTTAAGTTTTAAAATAACATGTCCAATTTTTGTATGAAATAATTAATAAATAACGTACCTATTATAAGAACGTATTATATGTTGAATATTATAAGAACTGAATGCTGAATAATATATTTTATGGTTCTTTTTGTTTCAAGTTTTAGGTTTAATTATTCTTTTTTATTTGTAGAGCTTCTTCTTAATTTCTTTTCCCAGTGTGCTCTTGTTTTCTTTTATTTTTTTTTTGTGTCTCTTGTAGTCTTGCAACCTTGTCTCCTTGTTGGGACTCCTCGCTGTTGCAATTCAATTTCGCCTCAAATCGAATCAAATCGAATCTGGTTCTGTGTGTTGTGTCTTGTGTGTTGTGCCTTGTGTGTGTGTGTACTGAATGATATACATTTATTTTGAGCAACAATTGTTTTGGCATTAAAAACCAAAAGAGGGGGGGTACTGGGGGAAATGGGGAACTGGGGGACAATGTGCAATTGATGGCCAGACTTTGGGGCACGTTCGATGCTGTCGCCGATGCCATCCATCACACTCGAAGCGAAATAAATTGAAACTAATGCCAAAATGGCAATCAATGAATGTTGCTGCCACACCAGCAACTAGGCATCTACTAGCAACATCACTTGCAACTTGCACTTGCAACAGCTGTTTTCTTTATTTTTTTTTCACTATTTTTTCTCTTACTTTCCCATTAAGCGCAACTTGAAAATCCTGTTCATGGAAAGCCGATGGGCGGCTTTAGTTGTCTCTTGTTTTCTTTAGTTTTTCTATTTTTCCTATTTTTTTGTTTGTTAGTTAGGAGTAGTAGTAGTTTTTCAGGTGAAAATGGTTAGTGGAGCAGCGTTAAGCTCACTTTCTCATGGCCAAACTAGAAATCAATTGACATTCAAAAATCGCAACCGGAATGGGAAGTAATTGATGAGGAGAGGATTTCCCTGAAAAACTACAAAAAAAAAAAGAAGAATTGAAAGGAAAATTATAAAAAAAAAGAGTTGGTTAATATTACTAGAAACCTAAATTAAAATAAAATTAAAAGATCTTGATCTAATATAGTATAGAATATAATATTGTTTTAATTTAAAATATGAAAGTATTATCATTTTTCCTAAGGTTTGTTTTTCAAAGAAATAGAAAATAAAGAAACCCTTATTAAGGATTGATTTTAGAAATCATATATTTAAGAACCTCTTTATAAAATATTGTCTTTATGCTCTGGTTTTTTTGAATATTTGTACTTGGAAAATTTAAATAATAATAATAATAAATAATACTCTTAAATACCATAAACTCCTTTGAAAAAATAACTTAAATTTTACCATTTTAGATGCATGAGTTCCTTGTGATATATCCTAAAAGTTAATTCATAATTAACTCGGTCATATCCTGGCAGTTGGTGGACCAGACTGTCCGAAAACCAAAACCAAAGCCAAATCCTTTGACGAAAACATCGCACCTAACAGCCAAAGTGACACCCTAAGCTGATTAACTCTAATCTAAAGTTGCAACCTGGATGGCGAAAAATGGGGCAGACGAGCTACAAAAAAAAAAGATACAAAATCTAGAAAAGGGAAAACACAGACAGAAAAGCACAGCGCGATGCACTGAAAAAATAAGGGGGTTACCTACAATTTGAAACAAAAGATATGTCCTGAAATGGTTGGTTTTCCAACGAAAATTATACCCAATATATACAAATATAATATATATAATATATACAAATAATAGTATTATTAATATTTATATTTTATTAAATTATAAAATCATACCCTATATTTTTCCAGTGTAGTAGTGATTGTAACACACAACGAGGACTGTTTACATTTGTCAAAGATTTGGAGGAAAAAGCAAAGAGGGTCTCTGGGAGAAATACGTAGAAATGTTCGTAGAAATGATATGGAGACAGCAACAGAGGCACAGAAATGGGTGCCAAAAAAGGTAAGTGATGGAATATGAGGAAAAAAAATGTTAAACGACTAAAGGATACCTATTATAAAATACTAAAAAATAAAGACATCATTTTTATGAGCTTAAAACTTTCTTAATAATTTCCAAACATTTTTAAAAATATATTTTCTTTCTAGAATCCAAAATAAAACCAAATATACTCTTTAGATTTTTAAAGCAAGTCCGTTTGGAGAGTAAAGAGGATCCCCCAGGAGCTAAACTGATAAAAGTGCTCTGAAAATTGGGACCATGATGACCCCTAAGTCCTGGCGCCCCCCAAAATCCTGGCCCGAAATCCTGTCTGAGACTCTTATCTATCTCTCGGATTTGTTTCTCCTGCCTTTTCCGCTTAGTTCCCCATCTTCATCAGCTTCCTCCTCGGCATCTTCATCTACCTTACATCCCACTTACGTCTCCATGTGTTTTGGCCTGGCCAGGACCTCTGGGTCCTTGGTCCTTGTTCCGCATATCCTTGAATTGGCTTGGAATCGGGTTTTGGGTGTCGGGATTTATATTGGCATTAAAAACTAGGAAAAAATTGTGGAAAATGTTGACCGCGAATGGTTGAAGGCTAAAGGATCAAGTTGTCCTTTTTGAAGGATATTTGGTGGATTTTTTTGTAGCTTAAGGTGTGGTCTGGGGTGTAGGGTATATTGGTCAGTAGTTTTTGGTCAAAATAGACTTTTCTGAAAGCCTATTTTGACATCATTTATTATTAGTAAATGATGTGTTTAGTTTAGTGAAGTAAGTTAAGTTAAAATTAAAATAACAAGCTTTTAAAAATTAGATAATAATTCATAAGGATAATAAAGACTTCAAAGTTTTAAATTATATATATATATTTTAACAGTTTAAATATTTTATGGTTTCTAAATTGGTTAAGTATTTTCATTCGAAAGTAATTATTTGTTAGGGCTTGACCTTTAGCCCTTTCTTTTAGAATTATGTTATTTTAGGTGAGTCTCTTATGCATAAATATTTACAAATTTGAATGATATAATTTAGTAAATAAAACTTTATTGTTTTCTTAGGTATTTTTATAATTTATACCTAATCCAGTATTTTTTGTATATTTTTAATCTTTAAAACTCTTGTATTGTTGGGTTTGTGGAATTGGTTTTGTTTGGTTGGCCTGTTTTTAAAACTTAAATAATTTAATAATTTAGTTTAGTTAAATAAGACTTGCTAAATTAGGTTTTTTTACTAATTCTCTTAATTTTTATTCCTCTATGATCCTGTAAATATTTCTTATATCCATTTATAATATTCAAATAATCACTAATTCCTGTTTGGATTGTCAGAAGGCACTTCTAGGCCAGCTCGAAGTTAATATTTACATGACAAATTGTTGTGGCACGTCTTGAAGAGGCGGAACGTTCCGCAATTGCAGCAATCAGTGGCATCACCTTGGCTAAGGTGGGGGGTGGTGGTGGGGGTGTGGGGCGTCAGAAGGGAGGCGTTACCGGCTTGGCCATATTTTGGCGCAAGTTTTCACCACACGCCCCAAAAGTGGAAAATGCAGACGCTGCAGTCGAAGTCGAAGCTGCCACTGCCACTGCCACTGCTGCTGCTGTTTTTGTGGGGAAAAGTGGCCAAGTGGCAGGTTCTATTTGGCTTCGTGTGTGGCCAAGAGCTTCGTGTGGCAAGTGCTTCGGTTTTTTGGGGCACGGTTCGTGTACGTATCGTCGGTGTCGTCGCTGTCGGTGTCGGTGTCGGTGTCGGTCGGATAGGCGGCATTATCAGGCGGCAACTTCAGTTGCAAGCCAACGCTCAGCGTGTGTGCCTCGTGAGTCTCTCCGTCTCTGTCGTGTGTTGCATCCACTTTTCAAACAGCAACTAGCAACTTGCAACTTGCAATTTTGCGACAATTCAGCTTTGGAAAAACTAAAACTGAACTTGACTTTCAAATTTTTAAGAATTTTCCACTTATTTCGAAATATTTTTTCGCGAGTTTTTAATTTATTTTTTAGGCAACAAAATTGTCTAAAATTTTCGCGCGTTTTCGAGTCAGTTTTTTTATTGTTATCGTCACGTGTTCGTTCGGCTGTTTATTGTTTGTGTTTTTTTGTTGCTGTGACTGCAGTTGGTGTTTCAAATTAAAAAACAAGAGAGTGATTTGTTAAAAAAACTAAACAAAGTTAATTTAAAATTTTAAAATAAACAACAAAAAAAAAACAAACAGAACTTCTGCTTTCAACAAAACTATCAGGAAGGAGTGGTAAACTTTTTTAACTGGTTAGTTTTGAAATTTTTATATTGTGGTTTTTATATTAAATATATCATAATATAGTTGCTTATTAATTATAGTTTTAAAATTGAATTTCAAGAACACTTGTAAACTAGGAAATGATATTCATAGTTCTTCTTGTAAGGTTTAATACTGAGGCTATAATAAATACATATGTAGGAAGGATATATAGGACTTATATTGCTAAATAAAATTAAATTATTATGTATTTTAGTAGATTTAAAATTAGTTTGTGATAAAACATTTTAAGCAATGATAATGATCTTCTTTATATATTTTTCAAGATTTAATATTTCTTTACAAGTCATATTAATAACTTTTCTTTTTTCTATTCTACCAATTATACTCTATAATATTCTATAAGCATGGTTTCATAAAAAAAGGGCTTAGATTATTATTTTAAACCTTTAACTTTTATTCACAAATTATGATTAATATGATAATTAATAAACCCAACACTTAACAAGCACTTGCAACTTTAAATCACAATATTAAGCTTTTAAAAAATTTCCCAAAAAAAAAGAAACAAAGCCTGCAACTTGCAACTTGCAACTTGCAGTCGGCAGTCGGCAACCTGCAATGTGCAACATTTGTGACTGGTTCGCGTTGCTGCGTGATAGCTTTGATTATATATTTTTTTTCGATTTTTTGTTGCATTTTGTTATTTATTTTTTAGCGAAAGTTTTCTGTTTTCTGTTTGATTTTCTTTTCTTTTTTGACGAGTTTGGTGCTGTTGCTGCCTCAAGATGTTGCTGCTGGCTTGTTGCAAGATGCTTTGTTGTTATTGTTGTTGCATTGGCATTGGTATTGCTGCGGGGGGGGGAAAATGAAAACAATTTGCACAGTTTTTGATGCTTGGCCTCCTCATTCGATTTTTTTTTTGCTGTTCAGACTTTTCTGATTTTTCTCCACTGGCTTGGGGCGCCCCTAATTAAACCGGTTAAGTGTTATTTGCTTTTATTTTTTTTTCCACTTTTTTTACGCTTTTTTTTTTGGTTTTTTTCTGCTAATTGCCAGTGAAATTTGTGACAGCAGCAACATGAGCAGCAACATCGGCAACATCACAAACGGGTGACAACAATCAGTTGCCATTGTGTGTCCTTGTTAATGAAATCGTTAAGCTGCCGAAGGAGGAGCAAAGGGTACTGATGGGGGGGCAGGACCCGTAGCCATGGTATACAGGACGATTAAGCTGACAAAAAAAAAAAAGAAGCTAAAAGGATGACGATGAGAAGGTCCTGTTGATGATGATGATGGTAATGGTGGCAATGCCGATGCCGATGACGATGCTGCTGGCGCGGGCCAATATCAAAAGGATTTTCGTTTGAATGCGAAAATATGGGGGAAATATGCGGAAAATGTTTGCGTGAGGAATCTGGTAAATACAGGACGAGAGACTAAAGGACTCTGGGGCACTAGAGTACTGAGCCACCCTGGCAGGCTGCTGGCGGGGATTCCCCTTTACAAAAAATACAAAAATAAAGGGGTCGCACATCCCCACCTTAATTTTTAAATAATTTTAAAACCAAAAGAAGTCATTAAGCCTTTTTGGATTTAATTTCAAGAAAAATTTTAAACTGAAATGGTTTGGGATTTAAGGAGAATTGAGAGTATTGGACTGGAAACTAATACTTAACATTTAAAATTTAAATAACTTTTAAATTTTAGTAACCTTTTATACCTCTACCTCTGATAAACTTTATAAATAAATCTAAAACCTTAAGCAATTACTGAAATATTCCATTTCTGTTTACCTACTTTTTAAAGGCATTTTCATTATTTTTCGTATTTTCTGTAGCCCCTCGAAGGCCTTTAAGTGCATTTTTTATTCATAATTTTTGAAAAGCTCTCGAAATTGACATTTCATTAAATTTCGGGCCAACGAGAACATTTTATTGTCATTTCATTTGATTAAAAATTTCATAATGTGGACTCCCTAATGTTGTCAGTTCTTTTTTTTTGTATGCATATATATTATTTATATTTTTTGATGCTGTGGGATATTTTCCAGCAACAACAACAACAACAAGAAAAACATTGGAGAAAAACGAGCAGGAAAAGTGAAAATCTAAAATTTCTTTGCCCCAGGCTGTGTTTGTGTGTCATGGTGGCAAATAGGGGGGGTGGACAAAAAATTAATAAAAAAATAAACTGCAAAAAAAGTGAGATAACAAAAAAAAATACAAAAAAATTGTGAAATTGAAAATAAGATGAAATTGTGGCGCAGTATTTGCGTTTGGCGGCATTTTTCCGCCGTTTTCCCGTTGCCATTTGCTTTTGGCTGCTTTTTTAAGTTTTTTCTAACGCCCCTTAACCGAATAACTCCCCCCCTTATCCTATTTTTTTCCTCATTTTTTAGAGGCCCCTCTTTTGCGCCACCCATGAACATGGTGTTGCTGATGGCTTCATATTCATTTAGTTACCAAATTCCTTTTGTTTATCTTTTCCCTTTGTCCTCTGTGTTTCTTCATCTTTTTCTTTTAATATTTCTTCTTCTCTTAGTTTTTTTTAGTCTTATTCTAATTTTTTTTTCCTAAATTTTATTTATGTTTTTATGACATTTTTATACCCTTGCAGAGGGTATTATAATTTTGTCCAAAAGTGTGCAACGCAGTGAAGGAGACATCTCCGACCCTATAAAGTATATATATTCTTGATCAGGATCACCTCCTGAGTTGATATGAGCATGTCCGTCTGTCCGTCTGTCCGTCTGTCTGTCCGTCTGTCTGTCTGTTTCTACGCGAACTAGTCTCTCAGTTTTGAAGCTATCGTCTTGAAACTTTGCACACACCCTTCTTTCTTTTGCACGCAGTATATAAGTCGGAACGGCCCGGATCGGCCGACTATATCCTATAGCTGCCATATAACGGATTGATCGGAAATGGTATAACTTTGGTGTTTTTAGAGTTAGAGAGTTCAAATTTTACAGGAAAGCTATTTTTGGCAAAACATTACGACATGCCAAATTTCATAAGGATCGGCCGACTATATCTTATAGCTGCCATATAACTGAACGATCGAAAATGACCCAACTTTCGTGTTTTTGAAGATAGAAAGCTGAAACTTAATACAGATTATATTTTTGGCCAGTTGATCCATCCTACCGAATTTCAATAGGATCGGCCGACTATATCCTATAGCTGCCATATAACTGAACGATCGGAAATGACCCAACTTTCGTGTTTTTGAAGATAGAAGTTTGGGACATTTTTTTTAGATTTTTTATTTTAGTTAATTGGTTTTATTATGATGTAATCATAAGGATCGGCCAACTATATCCGATGTTTGCGATATATATCCGGTTTTAGCTGCAAGGGTATATCAACTTCGGCTCCGCCCGAAGTTAGCTTTCCTTTCTTGTTAAATTGGGTTTTTTGGGGGACACTATGGAAATCAATTGATTGAGAGTTTTGGTAGTTCTTGAGCTTTACTCTTTAATGGAAATATTTTATTTTCTAAGCCAAAGATATGAATGCTTTAAAGCTTATACCTTGCATAATTTACTTAATATTTTTATGATATAAATTTCGAACGGTTTTATCGAAGTATTTATTACTCAAGCCAAACCTCAAGCTTTTCTCAACTTACACTTGAAACAAAATTATTTAATAAAGAAATCAAGTTTGATTTCTGCAATCTTCATCCATAATATTGGTGTTGTATTTGGCAATTATGCAAAGTAGATTTCCAGATTTTCAGATTTTCCCATTTTCTCCCTTAACGTTTTCCGATTTCCATTCAAACGAAGGCACGGCAGGCGCCATAATTGATATTAATTTCGTAATTAAAACATAAACTCCCCCCCTTTTGAAGGGGGAGTGCGGGGTAAAATAGATTATGCAACATCATTTGATTGTGAAAACATTGAAATGCAATTATAATAATCAAATTCAAAATTGTCAAACATTCCTCGGATATTATTGCCAGTTTACATTTCTAATTTATTCATTTTTGATGTAATTTCTATTTTTTTCCTCCAGAAATTCTATTTTAATTAAATTAACTTTATAAGCTTAAAAAATCAACATTTAAATAGTAAAAGATATACTGATATGAGTATTCAAAAAATCGAAAGTCTAGGCGTTGCCTCCAAAAATCATCGAAGCATTAAAATTACCTCTTAATTATCACGAAGAGCCATAAAGCGTCTGCATAAATCCATTAATTTCCTAAGCATGAAGCAAAAATAATAGAAACAAAATAATAACAAAAACTCATTAAAAATAGTTAGTTGTAAAAATTATTAACTCACACATGAAATCATGGGATGTGGGCTGAAAATAATTGAAAAGTTTCATAGACTGGGTGGGGTTTTGAGCTAAAAAGGGTTTCAAGATAATATTTAATTTGTTAATTAAAAGGAAAAAAATAATAAAAGAAGTTATAAAAAATAGAGAAAACTTTATAGTTATTTTAGGAGTATTTCATTTCTAGGTTTGTTTTTAAATAAATATTTTATGAGCGTTTCTTTAATCAAATAATAGTTGCTCTATTTTCTTGTTTATTTTCACCTTTCATGCTTTAAAAATTACAAATAAAATATAGATAGCTTTCTTAATTGTTTTTATTACAACTCTTTAATTCCTTACCACCATTTAAGCTTTATTTCTTAGCTCTCTTAACTTTTTATTGTTTTTCTTTGCGAAAATCCAGGACATATTCATTAGGATTACTTTTGATCGGGCGCCGCTTGCCAAGTCCCCGAATATGTTTGGTTTAGCTCACCTGACAGCTGTCAGCTTCTAGCCACCCCCTGCCGCAAGGCCCCTACTTCCCTTCCCCCTAACCTTTCGCCTTTTCGCCCAACACCTGCCACACCCCCCCCCTGCCTTGGTTTTTTTTGCACTTCATCAAGTTGCGTTGAGCCGGCGGAGAAGGAAACTAAATGCGCAAACACATGTTCCCAACACGGCAACTCTTTGCCGGAGTTTAAGTGTGTGCACTGTAAAAAAAATTATCAAATTTATATAATTAAATAATATATAAA